CGTCTTTAAGAAAAGGCTTGCCAAACCTAGAATTCTACTGTTTTCTGTATCCCTATGTGGTCTGGGCCATAGCAGGTTTTCAAAGTTGCTGTCCTATGACTGTTTCCAATCTAAGCCTAAGCCAGAAAAAATAAATTCACATCCTGAACTCAGTTCTCTGTATCTCTGCTGAAAAGGCCACTGCGGGGGTTATCCTTGCCAGTTATTTTCATTGTTTTTTAGAAATGCCCAAGGAGACGCCCCTGCCACAGTTGAAAAACAGTTCCCTCCACCGTTGTGAATATATTAAGCCATTATAGAAAGACTATATTTGTGTCAAACGTACATATTTATAAATGCCCCTTTCCGTAACCTATACTCTTGGAATCACTTCCAGTCACACTGGCTTCCCGTTAATTCTGTCTACAGGGCAAGAATGTTGCAGATAAGTGGTCCCAAGAATTCTGTCCTGTGTGTGACAATTCAAATTCTCATTTGTATATGTTAGAAGAGTTGATTTTATCCATGAAAAATATAGGCAATCTAAGCAAACTTGCTAAGAAAAAAGCTTCTTGAGCTCCATTTCCTATAGCTTATCTCTACCACCGTCTTCTTTGTAGATGAAGAAGTTTCTTTTCACAATTTTTTAACTAAGAAATAAAACAAAAAGGAACAGCATGTTAAGTAATATTTGGGTTGGGCGGGGTAGGGAGAAACCTCCCATAAGTCTAATAACCTTAGCAAATCAACTACTGTATTTTTATTTTTGCCTCTTAATCCCTGTCCGTATGTATAATAGCACAGCTATTTCATAGTCTGCTGTGCTCACTTAAGCTAGTATCATAAATGTTTCCATGTTTACACATAATCTTAATGATTCAGAGTGTACATACTTGAATACATTGTATCCAAGAGCCAAGTTGGATGAATTGGGGTGGACACCTCACTTCCAAAATAGCTCTTTCCCACACATCCTTTAGAATCACAGTGCACTTGGCAGCCCTCTGCTTGGTATAGAATTATGTTGCAACAAGGCGATTTATGGTTAGAATTGTCACCAGCTGACATCTGTGAGAAGCAGGTTCTCCAAAGGATTTCCTTTGAGATGATGCCAGAGCTTCAATGGTGCCTGAGCAGCAGAAAATTAAAAAAAAGGAAAGAAAAGAAAGCGGTATTATTTTATGATACAATTGCTAATATTCAAAAGAAAATTTCAGTGTGCCTGGTAAGCCAGACAAAGGTACAGATGTCAACTCTTTCTCTGTACACACCCAAATGGAGCACTGACCGTAAGGACGGGATACTCTGATCTGGCTTGAACGTGGAACAACAGAACAGGTGTTCCTTTTGGGAAACAAACCACAGCAGTGCTGTCCAAAGAAAGTTGGACTTCCCAAACCATAATGATTCAAAGGTGAGTTTCTGTTTAGACTCACTTCTGGGTGCTGGCTCTTTGCAGGGACGTTTTGCTTCCTATAAGCCAGGCATTAGAATATGCAACATACTTGCAAATCATACTTGCAAATTTCCCAAGCGTTAGTGGTGAGGCTTTGTTGAAGAGAGAAGTTGGAAGACCTTGGGTAGAGGCAAACATCTTGTTTCATAGTTATTTCCTTACATTGCTGAGCAGATAAGGTGAGATCGTTTAATATCATGAGAAATACTTTGTTTTTCAGATGAAAATGGGAACCTCAGGATACATTTTTAAGTATGGGTGTGAACTTTGTGTGCCTTGAAAGAACTTGAGAAAATGATAGGCCACCTCTACTTTATTACTGTGATTAAAGCTTTATTTGATCCAATAATGTCTTTTGGATGCCGATGTATTTGCATAAACTTTATTAGGGTGTGATGAGTAATTTAACAGCACATCTATGTACTCAACCTTTTACCATGAAATGAAGCTCAAAGCTTTGTGTTTGAAAGGCACAGAGAACAAGTAACATTTCGTTTTTTAAAACTCTTCTTCCCAATTTCAGAAAATTTTCTTCAACTTATGATAAATGTTTTTGAAAGAACTTCAAAATAATATGCCAATGGCTGTACCATTTTCCTTCTCAAAATTTTTACTCTATTAACCTTAGCTTCTCTCTTATGAGAACTGATTTGCTATAATTCTAAAATTATATCCAAAGCACCACTGCAATTGCTATTAACTGCCCTATTGAAACTTGAAATTAACATTCTTGCTGTGTTTTTATTGATGAAGGAGTCATTTATATATGTCAGAATGGCAGCAGATACTTTAAAGTTGTGGCTTTCATTGAACAAGGATAGGAGAGTGATTGAAAGGAAGCTGATAGATTTTTAAAATTAAGTCAATCAAGGCAGCACCTGTGGCTCAAAGGAGTAGGGCACCGACCCCATATGCTGGCGGTGGTGGGTCCAAACCCATTCCCAGCCAAAAACTGCAAAAAAAGAAGTCAATCAGCCAGGATATTTTATTACTGGCCAGGCTGATGGATTCTAATAGAACCTGAGCCTGTTCTCTTGTAAGGCAATTAACACCTTGAAGTTAAGCGTTCAGGGTGTGAATGAGGATTTTACATGGACCCTTCTCATATCCACAGCTGCCTGCTTTGACTTGTCTGTGCAAAATGGCAAGCATTTGCACTGAGGTGTTTCCCTCCCCTTTTAATCCCTTTTAATCTCTTCGTTAGAGTGCTTCTGAGTATTTGGAACTTTTCTTGATGATTTGCTTTTAGAGGTAGAGAGTGCTGAGTCATTATCATAATTCGGAATTAAGAGATGTTTGCGGCAGCGCCTTGGCTCGGCAGTTAGGGCACCAGCCCCATACCGAGGGTGGCGGGTTAGAACCCAGCCCTGGCCAAACTGCAACAAAAAAATAGCCAGGCATTGTGGTGGGCGCCTGTAGTCCCAGCTACTCAGGAGGCTGAGGCAAGAGAATCACTTAAGCCCAAGAGCTGGAGGTTGCTGTGAGCTGTGACGACACAGCACTCTACTGAGGGTGACGAAGTGAGACTCGGTCTCTAAAAAAAATAAGAGAGAGAGAGAAAAGTGTTTGCGATCAGCCTCATGCAGGCAGGACATGCTGTTTTGACTTAGATCCTGAAACAAGAAGAGTCAGACTTGGTGGAAGCATGAGAAGGTGGTGGCTTTGAGGGAAGGGATAAGGGAATTTTCTCATTGGATTCTATGAAGGCTTTAAACTTGCCGATGGTCAAGGAACAATCCCTGTAAACTAATAGAGAACGGGCTGTTTTCCATCTTTCCTGGAGGGGGCACTCTTGAGCACGCTAGCAGTAGGGCAAGGAGAGAAGGCCAGGGTCTGCTCCCGTGTGTCTTCTCTTTCCATCTGCTTGAAGTGACCTGCTGCTGGGGCATCTCTAGTGGAAGCAATAGGGTCCTGTAGAACAGGAGGGCTGGAAGGAAATTTATGGGTCATCTGGTGCAGAATGTGGTGTTGGAACCCACTGGTACCAGCTTAGGGGGGCCAGTGGCAAATGTCCAGTGCAGGAATCCGTGGCGCCAATTCTAATACAGAGCCATTATTAAAAGTAAATTATATGAACTCAGACTTGAATACATTATGTGGTAGAAGCTCCCTGAATTGACCACCCGAGGAACTGTAACACGCTTGTCAACACAACAAAAGTGGCCAACATAAGGGACTAGGCCACTGCACTGATACGTACGTGTGATGCGTGTCCAGTCTCTGAAAATTAGGAAAACCAGCCCCATGTCTGGTCTGTGAAGATTAGGTCAACTCAAGGAAGTGATCAGTGTAGGGAAGCGGTCAATTATGAAGGTTCTACTGTATTTAAAAAACAAAAGTAATGAATATTCAGATTCTGTCCCTTCCTGATTATTTCACTGTGCTATTCTCTCTGCGGTCAGCGTTGTTTGTGGTTCTTGTACCTGTATGTTGGAAATACCATCAATGTTGTCATGGCACCGGCTTGAAATTAAATGTCGCAGAGGTATTTAGAACACAGCGAGACAATTTATGGCTTGAGCAGTCGCCAGCTGACATCTATGAGAAACCGTGTTCTTCAAAGACTTTCCTTTGAGCATGTTGCCAGAGCTCCAGCAAATGCTACAAATCAAGCTTTTTTGTTCCAGAAAGCCAGTTGTTTAACATTCACCAGCACCCACGGGGCCCATCCCATTTATTTTTGCGTGTGAGACTGGGTCACAAAGACGAACAGAGACTTGTCCAAAGTCCCGTGCTTGCTGGCAATGCCAAGGCTACACTCAGGTCTCCTGGTGCCTGACTCAGGCGCCTATGTTTCTGCCCCATCCATCTGGGATACCAGTCCTAGAAGGCGCAAGGGACATGAGTCAGGTTTAGCTATGGGCACTTGGCTCCAGGGGTCTTCTGTTTTGGTGACAGCATTGTAGAGACTTGGGTCAGAACCAAGCAGGGGATAATTAACACAGAAATCTGAGTCGTTTCCAGATGGGTGATCATCTCCTCTCCAGTGATCAGCTTTGGGAAGAGGAGGCAGAGATGGGATCTTGAACTCTGTCCCTAAGGCAAGGTTCTGTAATCCCTGAATGGACAGATGAGCAAAGAATGAATAACACTTAGCACCCCTGATTGTATGTTATCTGTTTGCAGTAGAATCTCTATGAGGTGATTAATCAAGGTACATAACAAACTGGTCAACATACAGAAGTGGTCAACATAAGGCATTAAGCCTACTGTACTGATATGCACACGTGGTGCATGTCTGGTGTGTGAAAATTAGGTCAACTTAAAAGTGGTCAGTGTAAGGAGGTGGTCAGCTGTGGAGGTTCTACTGTATAAGGTCATTTAGTTTGTGTCTCCCCCATTAGAATGTGAGGTCCATGAGGACAAGGTCCTTGTCCTATATGCTGCTGTATGCTCAGCTCCCAGAACAGTGCCAAGCACAGAGAAAATGCTCAATAAATACTTCCAGATGAAGAAAGGAGCCTATTTTGCCCAGAAGAATGTCCTGGTGGCATCCAGTGTAAGGAAACTCTAACCCTTGTCCACCTGCTACAGTCTCCTGACCACCATTTCTCTTCTCTCTTAGATGACGGAGGGCCGTCGATGTCAAGTACATCTTCTTGATGACAGGAAGCTGGAACTCCTAGTGCAGGTAAGCTGCTTTTGGTCAACTGTCTGAGTTTCTGCAGAGACTGGTGTGATTCAGCCTTGGATTCTGCTAGGGATTTGATGGGGAGATTGCGAACTGCTTTTTGGGTGAGACCGTACCATAGGGGTTAGAGGGTGTGCTGTTTTTTTTTTTATTTGTTCTGCCTCTGTATACACTGGAGCCCAAGGCATTCAAGGACAGATGTGTATCTTACTGTGTTTCCCTGAAAATGAGATCTACCAAAAAAATAAGCCCTAGCAGGATTTCTATGCATTTGTTAAATATATGCCCTACCCCAATAATAAGACCTAGTAATGGGCATGGCTATGCTATGTATCTGCATAGCCATGCCATGCATTTCAGAGCAGAGAGGAAGAGATCCCCTGAAAATAAGCCCTAGTGTGTCTTCTTGAGAAAAAATAAATATAAGACAGTGTCTTACTTTCGGGGAAACATGGTACCTATTGTTACAAATCTCTAGGAAAGAAAAGGGCACAGCTGCCCTTAGCTATTCTTCCTTTTCAGATGGAGTTAGCCACAATGTAACCTAAATAACTCTAGCTGTAACTGACACTGATTTAGTCTTCCTTGCTTACCAGGGATGGAAAATAATTCATTCTTTTCAAGTTCAGTTTTGACAGTTGAGAAGAAAGACACACAGTCACTGTGACCCGTCTTCCCTCTGAGGGCTGAGCAGCCCCGTGGCACCCCATCCTAATGGTCACTGTTAAGCATCTAGAGAAACTGAGATGCAGAAAGTCAGTCAGTTCCTCCCTAAGTAAAAGCATGTCGGTGTCACCAAGGTCAGAGAAGTTGGCTCGGTTGGCTTGCTCTTGGAGAGATCATTGTCTGACCAGAGCCCTAAAGGATGGTGATGTTTCCAAACCTGATTGAAAGAGTTTACCCTTCCAGACCTGGTGTTCAGTTTAAACTTAGATTACATTCGCTTGGTATTCTCAAATGTCTTCAGACATTGGTCCCATCCTCCATCACATTTTCCTATGAAGAAACTACAGTACACGGGGGGGTGGGGGTGGTGGTGGGGTGGTTGAAGTGTGCCCACCTGCTCAATCACAGGGGACGTGATACAGCCTCGGGGGGGACACTCAGGCACAGACACGCGTCTGGTGTTGACTTGTGCATGCTGCTTCAGTTTGAAAATGTTCAGAATGATGACTTTCAGTGCTAACACTTTCAGTAGGAGTCAAGTGAGAAAGAAAAGCTTTATAGATGTGATGTAGGAAACGGGAAAAATAGGAACTCTCTCGCCCTATTCATTCAACTGCGGTGACCGTTTGGGTGGGTTTCTTTGCAGCATTTTTTGTATTTCTATTTCTTGCATGGTTGTAATGATAATACGTATAAGTGGGCACCCGTTATGTGTATAATCCTGTGTGTTTTGTGTTTCCACTTAATATCATCTTTCACTAGCATTTTCCAAGTTGCTATAAATTGTCACGTTTGTGACTAATATGCAAATTCCAGAGGTGGCTGTACTGTTATCATCTAATCATGCTGCCTTTTGGGTAGATTTAAGGTTTTTTGGTTTTGTTTAGTTGTTTTGTTCTTTACAATTTTCCCGCTGTTACAAGTAAATGCTGCGATTATCGTATCCCCATGTGTGGAGTTCACCGCGTTTTGAATTGTGGCCTTATTAGGCTGGATTCCATGGCCCGTAGTCCTTAAAAGTCAAACTTGTGGTTTGGATTCGGGGAAAGCGTAAAGTGGAGCAAGATCTCTTTAATTAGCAGAATCCTTAACTAAGACGAAGAATCATCGGCAGGAGGAATTTTTAGATGAGTCATCTGGTGTGTTTTATCTGCTTTCCTTAAAGGTCGGGGCAACCATCGGGGACAGGAAATGAGACCTCAAGTGGCAGTTCTCCTGGCCTTGAGAAAATAGGAATGAGGGTGGCTGAGATGGATAGGAACCCCAGAAAATATATTTAATTGCTGGTGCAATTAAACTTTGGAACAGTTACCCTCTAAAATCAAGGAAATGTTCTTTAGGCTGAACCAGAGTTCACGCCCGTCCCAGCTCTTGAGAGAAAGCACATCACGTGGCGTTTCTTCCTCCCACACGCCCGCCCCGCCCCGGGTTAGTTTCCACTCTGTCTTAGTTCACCGCTTGGAAGACACTGCCTCACCCCTAGCCAGGGCTTTCCCTGTCCCTCCCAAGTCTGGTCTCAGCTGCCCCTGCCCTGAGCTTCTGTCTTACAGCGCGGCCACGCCACATTGCACCTGTTTCTCTATTTGCCACTTCCAGTTTGAGGGCTGCACCTGTGCCTTGATCACTGTTTCGCTAGTCCCAGCCCAGTGTCTGACACATTGTGTCACTACGTAAAGATTTGTTGCATGAAAGAATAGATGAACTCTGAGATAAGAGGGAGGTCGAGTCCCCGAAGGGCTTCTTGCCATAGTACCAACTGCTTTGGGACGGGGTTTAGCTCAGCGCTATGTATTCACAAAAGGAAGGATTCCAACTCCACGGCGGAGTGGGCTTCAGCAAAACCTGGGGAAACAAAGTCAAAACTACTGGACAAAAGCCAACTGAAATGCATGACCCTTCTTTCTCCACCAGAAAGTTCTGTCACCTGGGATGACATACTCAGGCAGCGCCCTTAGTAAAGGGACTCACTGTTCACGCGCTCGTCTGACCCCATCTCCGTGTTTTAATGGTGTGAGACATTTTGACCTATTTCCTTTCTTTTTGACATTTTATATTTATACAGTGATAACCTTCAGATTCTTTTATACTTCAGTCCCTAAAATACGTTAACTACTGAGACCGTTGCTATTAAGAACAATCTTAGAATATTCATAATAAGCTTTAGACCAGCAATTCCCAACCTGTGGGTCGAGAACCACAGGAACTGTATTAAAGGGCCGCAGCATTAGGAAGGTTGAGAACCACTGCCTTAGACGAAGCAATGGCTTTCCTGATCTCTTAATCTGGAGAGCTGGACATGGGAGGGCTGGAAAGACCCCTATATTCACCTTCTGAGTTTGTGAGGTACAGAGGCAGGTTTGGAGGAAGTGTTTATCTCCCCTGGAAAAATAAACAGTTTTGCTCAAAGGTGACAGAAGGGCATTAAAAAAAAAAATGTCAGAAGTGGAAGATGAGTTTTGTGGCTACTGATTTTTACAGTAGGCCGGGAGAGTCCTCAAAGGCTACGCCTCAGATCTTCAGAGGCAGGGAAACTTCTACGGCATCCGTGTTGCACAAGCAATCTGAGCTGGCCTCAAGAACCGACTCGTGGAGAATTGCTTCCTGCCAAGAGGTTGCTGGTAGCCAGACGGCCACACAGATCATTTCATGCAGGGCTGTAAACCCGGCCACTCCGAGTGTAGCATTTCCCTTCTCTGGGTTGTAGGGGAAAACGGCTGTCAGGCTAACATTCACTGCTTATTCCGCAAAGCTCCTGGCTGGAGATTATCTAGTGAAATCTGTGCTTGCAAATCCCTGCTTACCCTGAGCGGATCCCACATTGCCCGTGCTGGGGAAGGGCAGACGGTCAAGAGCGATACCCTAGGAATTAATATTTAAAAGCTCATCCGAAATCCACAGGCGATGTCCTGACAGCCATGTCTTTACAACATAGCTCCAAGTGGAAGTATTCAAATTCCACATGAGGACAGCTGGAAGACCATGCGAGCATTCAGCCACTGACCAGTGGCTTCAACCTTGGTCTCAGACACGCGGCGGGTCACCCAGCCAAACCACCCTCCGCTCCAGCCTACAGGCAGTGTCTTCTGCTCCATCTTCCAAAATTGTTTCCACGGGTTAGAAATGTACTCAAAAAACCTTTCTCAAGATGAGAGACCACCCCCACCTCTGTCCCTGGGTCAGCCTCTTCCTGGGGCTGCATAGCCAGATAAGGGGGGGGTCAAGCGTGTCTTCCGTGAAACTGAACATCTTCAGTTCTTGTGCCTGTATTCCTTTAAAATTCTTTTCATTGGTTTCTTCTCTTCCTGATCTGAATGCGGATGTAGGAGAGCGTTTTGAAAGCAAAGAGAGGAAAACATGTGCTTTAGCTCCAGGGGGAATCATTTAAGGCTTTGAGGAGAATTTCCAGACAGCCAGAGTCCATAGATGGAACGTAGGAAGCCGTTCCTGGGGAAGATTCTGGACTCTTTCTCTGGGCTTCTTAAAAATAGAAAAGATTTTCACGAGAATGGAATGGCTGAGGTGTGGCCCTTCCTTATTAGGTTCTCTCGAGGCTTATGATTCCGTGTGATGTCCCATGTCGTGGGATGACATCAGCCCAGCGAGAGGGACACGGACGTTTGCCTTCCACTCCTGGGGACACCTCGTTTTCTGCATTTTCCGCTTCTCTTTAGATGGGTCGATATTAGACTCCCTTGGCAGAATTTCTTCCCTTTGGTGATGGGGGTTTAAACGTCAGAGGCGGGTCCCTCTCCCCAGTTCTGCCCAGTGGACCTTGCTTCTGGCTTTAAGGAGCTACCCAGCATCGGGACGCTGAGTTCCAGCTCCCAAGTTGCTCTGAGGTTACAATGTCTCTCCGCCTCTGACCCTGTGTCTCTGTAGTTATCGGCAAGACACTTAACGACTATCCACTTCTCTTCACATAGAGGGCCACGGTGTCCTCATGATCTTAAGAATTGGAGTAAACTCGAGCCAGTCGGTGTTTCCCAAGAGAGTGAAAGATCGCACCTAGATTACTGCTGCCTCTGACACGGGCCTCCTGGGCCTAGGAAAGCCACGGCTAGAAGCTCCAGGCAAGGTCTCAGCTGCTCCTTGTCGTGTCATCTAATAGCACCAGCCGCATGTGGCCACTAAGCAGAATGTAGCCAGTGTAGACTGAGGCACATGTGAGTATAGAATGCACACCAGATTTAAAGACACTGCATATTAACAAGAGTACCATGTCCTAGTAATCACTTTTATATTGATGATTCCATGTTGAAATGACAAGATTTTGCATATTTTATGTCAGGTATATGATGAGTCTTACCTGTTTTTTTACTATTTTTTGAATTATT